AGTTTATGGCCGGGTTTAGGATAGATAGCCATACTATCAAGAGGGGCAAACTTATTTGCATATCGGTCATCTAGTGCCACTTGAGCAATATAACTTTGCATACGTGTTAGGATTGAGTGGCGTGGTGAAAGAAGTGACTAACCCTTTGGAAAATGTTTGTGAAAAGCTAACACACGTGCACAAGTTGGTGAACACTTGGTGGTGTTGGCACATTTATAGAGGTAAAGAAGTTAGTAAATAAATGGAGGCGAAACCGGGCTCGGGGTGCTGCCTGGGTGGCACCGCCACCCCCTATCCGGTGGCACCATCACCCCTAGGGCGGTGCCCACCTGGCCTCAACCGAGGAGTGTTGGGGCTGACACCATCGTGCCTTGTCTAGTGGCACCGCCACCCCTAGGGCGGTGCCCACCTAACCCCGTTTCAGAGCAGTAGTAGTGGAGGTGGTCACCGCCGGTGACAGTGTACACCGCCATGTGCAGGGCAGTGCACCGCTAGGGGATGTCCGGTGCCACCACCGCTTTCTTCCCGAGGCTGGCCAGTTTGGACCTGAGCGTAGGGGGTCACCGTCGTGGTCACTGCCATGGTGACGGCGGTGCACCGCCCTATTAATCCAGAGAGTTGGTTTTCAGGGGGGTTGGCTGGGTGGCACCGCCGCACCTTGTCCAGTGCCACCACCACCCCTATCCAGTGCCCAACGGCTAGTTTTCCTAGCCGTTGAGAAGTGACCGTTGGGGCACCGCCGGGGCATGTCCGGTGCCAGCACTATCGTGTCCGGTGCCCTCGCAGAAAGTGCAGCTTTGCTCCAACAGCACTATTTGGCTTGGGGCTATAAATAGAGGTGGAGTTTGGGCATTTGGCTAGTAAAGCACCCTTGGGACTGAGTGTCCATGGTTGGGGAGTGCTTGGGAGCCCTCTAACTCACTTGTGCTTGATAGTGATCATCTGATCGAGTGAGTGAGCGATTCTAGTGCGATTGCATCGTGAGGTTGCATCGAGTGGCACTAGGTGATCGAGTTGTAAACCGGTGGTGCTTGTTACTCTTGGAGGTTGCCACCTCCTAGATGGCTTGGTGTCTTGTGACTTTGTTGAAGCACACGAGAAGATTGTGCGGTGCTCCGGAGGAGGATTTGTGAGGGGGATTGTGCTCACCCCGCGATGATCGCGAAGAGCAACTCTAGTAGAGCGTGTCATTGAGCTACCCTCACTTTTGGGGTAGGTTCTTGCGGTGCCCGACGTGCGGGCTTGGCGGGTGATGCCAATTAGCCATCGAACCACCAAGTGAGCGGTCGACACAACAGGGACTAGCGTGTTGGCAAGCACGTAAACCTCGGGATAAAATCATTGTATTATCCTTGTCTTCCCATTGGTTGCATCCCTTTTACACAAACTTGTATTTACGTTCATATACATTATGCTTATGTAGTTGCTCTTGTAATTAGTTGACTTGTGTAGTTGGCTAGTTACCTTCTTGCTTGTGTAGCATAGAAGTAGCTCCCTTGTGTGTCTAATTTAGTTTTAGTAACCTTGTTAGTCACATTGCTTAGTTTGTGTAGCTAAGTAATTTGTGCTCTCTAATTTGACTTGTATAGCCTTGTGATTGAGCATTGCTAGTGAGCTTAGGAGTTTTGTGCTTTTGCATCACTAGCATGTGTAGGAGCTCTCCGGTTGCCAAAGTACTAGTGCATAGGTTTATGTGACCTTGCTCTAGAATTGATTAGGTGAGCTCTAGCTAGCCCGGCACCTTTGTTGCCTAATTAGGATCTTTATAAGGTGCTTGTGAACCTAGATAGAGGGGTGTAGTCTTGGCAAGATCGATAGTCTTAATTCCGCATTTATTTCGGTTACCCAGCGCGATTAAGTTTTAGAAAGGACTATTCACCCCCTCTAGTCCGCCATCTCGACCCAATAACTGGCACCAGTGACGCACATGACGCCGGCCATCGCGCCCTGTCCTGCCCTCTCGAACGGGGCTAGGATTGGATCGCGACGGGGTGGGAAGGGTCAGCGCGGAGTTGGGGCAGGTAGGGCGGAGGAGCACGAGGGGCGGGGCTGGGCGGGCGGGTGCTTCTCGGGGGCCTCGCTGTCGCCATGGCGGCGGCCAAAACCCTAGCAACAGCCGACGGCGAAGATCGAGGACGCGGGATGGGGCAGTTGCGGGAGCTGCTCACGCACGACGCATCGGACTCGGGCAGGGCCCACATGTCAGCGTGGTAAAATGATCGCAGGAGGGGAATGGTAGCCGGCTTCACCATGTAGTGGTAGACGGGTCCAAGCGACTCTTTTTAGTAGTATATAGAGAAGAGAAAACCCCTTCTTTTTCACAGCCAAACTTTACGCCGACTTTGGCCCAGCAGCATTGGCAACCCAACCCTTTCTTTGGAGCCATCCCACCGGCCCCACAGTCTCGCCATCCCCTGGAGCCTGGCGTGCTATCCGCATGGGCAATGGCCCAGCAAGGCCATCAGCGACATCAGCGGCGTTGCTGCCCACACCTCGTTCTCCTCTGGCCTGAACCGCAAGGCCCGTCCTCCGTCATCCCTCCTCAGGTCTCTCCGCGCAGACCAGGTTCGCAGTCGGCCCAGGCCCAGGCCGCGAGGGAGCGGACGGCGTCGCCAGAAGGTCTCTCACAGCCGCCCCTACCGATGCCCTTCCATCAGACGCCCCTAACGAACGCAGCTCATGCTCTCGTGTCTCAATTAGTAGTCACGTCTCAAACTCGATCAAATAAATGAACTCAAATATGTCACGTCTCACGTGCGTGCGGCTATAGCCGGCATGCGCACGCCACTGTCATTGTGCATTTGTACAGCATTCCCAAAAAAAATTTGACACCACAGCATCCCGAATTAGTAGATCGCTACGTAATTAAGCTGCTAGCCTTGGATTCCGTGAATAACAAACAGCCAGCACTTGTTCGTTGCCCACCCAATTTTAGCCTTCCTCGACTCACGTGTGCATGGTGTCCGATCCGTCGTCTCCGGTCTCCCTTTATAAGCCGTGCTCCGTCGCTGGTTGATCCTCAGCCGTGCATGTTCCGGCTCCCGACAATATAGGCGAGGAGAGGACTGAAGCTCCTGCGTGCCCCACCACGTAGTAGGCAGGCACGTACGATACGAAATGCCGGCAGCGAGGCGGGTGGTCCTGGAGGTGCTCCGGTCGGCCTCCCGCGACGCCTTCCAGGTGGCCTTCTCCTTCGCGGCGAGGCCGCCCGTGTCCACCATGCTCAAGCCGGCCATCACCAAGCCCCTCCACCACCACGACAACAACTAACTGATCGATCTGATCCACGGCGGCATGCATGCAGGCCGCGCCGCCGCGCATATCCATATATGCGTTGGCCTCTTCGCTCTAATCTGCTGCAAAACTAAACCACGGTCGTCGGCATGCTTTCACCGCACCGGCCAGCCCCTGTCAGGTCGTGTGACGACGACATGACGTGCTTGATTATACATATGCTGCACTGCATGCTGATCTAGGGCCTTGTTTAGATTGCAAATTTTTGCAACTTGGACACTGTAGCATGTTTCGTTTGTATTTGACAAACTTTGTCCGATCATGGACTAACTAGGCTCAAAAGATCCATCTCGTGATTTACAACCAAACTATGTAATTAGTTATTTTTTTACCTACATTTAATGCTCCATACATACGTCCAAAAATTGATGTGATGGAGAGAGAGTGAAAAAACTTGGAATTTGGAGGTGATGTAAACAAGGCCTATTGTCGATCGGTAAGGTCCCTACCTCCAAATTAAATGTACATTACGCCGCTAATACTCCAGTAAGCAACAAAATGTCAAGCTCGCTGATGTAAGCTTGCATTAATCTGCAAGATGTCAGGCTCTCGCTGATGTAAGATTGAGGCTGAGAGCTTGACCATACGTTACCCATGTAAATTGTTTACGACGGGTATAGAATATGTTGTAACCATTTCTAAGGGGCTAAGGGCCCGGTTGCCTTGTCAGCAGAGCTCGCAATCTATAGCAATGGAGCTATCAGCCTTGCAGGGCAGGCCAACTTTTAATATTGACTTTGGAGGTCGATCGATCGGGTGAAGAAATCGTCGATTTGACACTCGAGCGACCGATGGATGACGAAGGATCAAATCCAATCGCATGAGCTAGCACACGCACACCGTACTCACGAGACTCTCGCCGCTGGCTTTGGCTTCGCCCACCATACGGCCACCACCAAGCGCGTGGCCCGCTGTTTCCGCGAAAGGATGCTACGGAGTAGCTCCCACCGGACACGGCAGCCGCGGGCGGCTCCGGCACACCCGTCATCCCCTATGGCTAGTGGCTGTATTGGCTACTGGCTAGTGCCCGCCCCGGAACAGCCACACGGCCGCAGGCACGACGAGTCCGCGGCCGGCGGCCGGCGCCCATCTGCATCTGGTCAAACCTGCCCAAGGCACAAGTGTGATGGCGTCGTGTCGTCCGCGTCCCCAGACTCCCCACCACGCGGCCGGGCCCGGGACGGCGCAGTCATTGCCTCGCCGTGCGATGCCGAAAAAGTAAGGCCGTGTTTTAGTTGGCGAAATTTGATGAGAAATGGTACGGTAGTATTTTTCGTTGTTATTTGGTAATTAATATCCAATTATAGTCTAATTAGACTTAAAAGATTCGTCTCGTGAATTTCATCTAAACTGTATAATTAGTTTTATTTTTTATTTATATTTAATGCTTTATATATGCGTTCAAAGATTCGATGTGACGGAGAATCTTGAAAAATTTTGTAAAATTTTGATAAGTAAACAAGCACCAAGCAGCCCTCCCGCGCAGCCCCTACCGTCTCATGCCCTCATGTGACCGCGACCCGCCCCCACAGCACACGCCTTCTCCCTCCTCGTCTCGTCGTCGACACACTCAATTCCTTCCAACTCTCTCCCACCAGGCCACCACGCACTACTGAGTCCGACCTCCACACCCACCACCACCGATCCACCTCGATCTCCGTCTCCAGTCTCCACCTCCTCCCCTCCGCCCGAGGACGACGACGACGATGATGAGAGGTGACGAGTACCGGTACCAGTACCAGCAGCAGCAGCAAGGCGGCCCCGGGTTCGTCATCGGCGGCGCGCTGCACGGCGTGATCATGGCGGTGGCGGTGGGTCTAGTGGTGGGTGTCCCACTGTTCCTGGGCGACGGCGGGGAGGCGATCACGTCCGCGATTGCGGACCTGCTGGGCCCCACGGGCCTGCTGCTGCTCCCCGTCGCACTCATCCTCGTCATCCGCGTCCTCTCCTCCGACCGCGGCACCGCCGGCGCGCTCGCCAACGCCCTCGCCCTCGGCGGGTCCCCGGACTCCGTGCACCGCGTCGGCGGATCCCCCGTCGGGGTCGCGCTCGCGCTCGCACTCATCGCCGTCCTCCTCTACTACCGCTCCGCGCTCCTCGGCGGCGGCGACGGCGGCGACGATGAGTAGCGCTGGTCCGCTGGTCTCTGGTTGGTCGACGCCGGCGGCTGTGCGTGGCCAGTGTATGTACATGCTATGCTTCGTCGTTGCGATCTGTGTAAAGTGTGCTAGATCGTGCTGCTGTCTTCCTCGTTTGGATTTGGAAACGCCAAGCTCCTGCGCTACCTACCGTACCGTGCCGTGTTTCAATAGTTTGGCCATATTTTTATTTGATTATGTTAATAATAACACTGCTGCACTGCACAAGATACACACAGCAGCACATGTGTTGTGAAACTGGTTTGGAATCCGGAACTGGAAGAACACCGTAATTTTGGGCTATCCGATCTATATACCCATGTTACATTCTGCAAACTGCTGCCTCGTTGCGATTTTAAAATTTGGGCTGGATCGCTCTGTGCTCTGGTTTGGAAATGCGAAGCTTCTGCGGCACCGGTTGAGTAGGTGGGTCCGTGGGTGACCGCCCGACCGGTGACCATATTTGATTTGTTTAAGACTATCTCCAACAACAACACCTAAAATACAAAACGTATTTATCAATGTTTCGGACCGAGGTCCTCAATCAACCAGTGAATTTGAATTGCGTGCCCTTAACCCCGGGTGGTGATGCAAAGAGACACAAAGTTTATACTGGTTCAGGCAATTGGCGCCCTACGTCCAGTCTCAGAGATCGATCTTGTATTCTTTGTACCGAAGTGCTTGTGGTAGGGAGTTACAAGCAGGGTGAGAGAGGCAGCTAGTCCTAAGTCTCGACGTGAAACGGTGTGGGTTACTTGAGATGTTGCTCTCGGGCAGCTTGGGAGAGCGTGTGTGAGAGCGTGGTTCTTTCATATATTTTTTCGCCCCCCTTCCCTAGAGCTATCCCTGGCTGCTTCCTTTTATAACCGCAAGGAGGGAGCCAGGAGTACATGAGTGAGCTACACGTGGAGCCTACTGTAGTTCAGTCCTATAGCAGCATGGTGTTGGGAATGGCGATCGGTACTTGACTGGCGCGTCGTGCTGGCCAGGCTTGAGGTTGTTGAGGTCGTGGGGTTCCTTGTTGATGTCTAGTCAGTATGGCCTCCACGGTAGAAGACATGCCGTGCCTTGTGGATTTTTGACTTGGTGAAGTGCCAAGGCCTAGCGGGTGTTGTAGCTGACCGTGCCGAGGCCTGCTTTGCCGAGGCCTCAGGGGTGACCCGTGTATGATGCGGGGGTCTCGGGGGTCATCGTCGTACCCGGTTCAGGTGTAATCCCTGCACCATCAGTAGGTGATGGTAAAAAGGAGATTTGACCGCTGTCCCATTGCCCCTGTTGCTGTACCCTGCCAGTCGTGGCTGACGTAGTAGGTGTGACCAGGCACACTTACACGGATGGGATGGCTCGCCAGAGGGGCGGTTGAGGCGGAGGAGACGAGGATGCGGGACGAGCCCGGCCCCGGCCAAGGCGGAGACGACGAGGATGTGGGACGAGCCCAGTCTTGGCCGAGGCGGAGAAGGAATAGTACGTCCGAGGCCCTGCCGGGGTGTCTCGGTCGAGGAGGAGGACGAGCAGTTGGTCTTTCCTGCTGTTTCCGAGACTACAGGGAGACGGACTTGACCTTCCACGTCGCTTTGTCCTTGGCGCAGGGGTTAGGTAGCACAGGCGCAAGGACGGTGTTAGCGGGGGGCACGATGATGAGCACGATGGCGAGTAACCCTACTGCGCTTCGGTCCCCCCGTCCCGTCGGTCGCTTCGCCTGCACCGTGCTAACGTCTGGTGACATTGCGGAGTAGTTAGGCGCGATTAATCGGGCGTGATGTTTTGTCCGAGGAGCCGGTCGGGATGGTGGTGACGAGATTGTTGCCGAGCCCAGCCTCGGACGAATCGGAGAATTGGTATCCCGTCCGAGGCCTTGCGGGGCGAGGCCTCGGCGGGGCGGAGGGCTTTGGCCTTTTGTCTGAGGCCTCGGCGCAAGCCTTGGGCGAATCGAAGAATCTACCGAGACCTCACGGTTGTCCTCTGGCTTTGATTTTTGCAAGACTTTAAGCAATATTTTTTGGTTCTTGCTTAGGGTACCCCTTCGTGTGGTATCCGACAGTAGCCCCTGAGCCTCGGGAGAAGTGTGGGCACTCTCCCGAGGTTTTGACGAGACTTGGCTCGTAGCAGCTCCCGTCGGGATTGTGTTTTGTACTTGGTCGTTCCAGTGGGTGCGCGCGAGCGCACCCGCCGGGTGTAGCCCCCGAGGCCCTGGAGGAGTGGGTTTACTCCTCCAAGGGCTTTTTTCTCCGTTTGAGCAAGGAGTTTTATCGTGTTTGCCGGGCCCATGATTGCGAGTTCGGGTCGCTGGGACTTGGCCTAGTTGCAGGAAGAACCCCCGAGCCTTCGCACGGAGCGAGAGGGCGATCAGTGGTTTCCCTGTCTTTTTTGACGGCCCTCACGCATCCTTTTCGCTCGGAAGGAGGGGTTTGTTTGTCGAGCCCCCTCGAGTGCTAGCCTAGGTCGCTGGGTCTTGGCAAGGTTTGCAGGGAGAGCCCCCGAGCCTCTGCACAGAGCGAGAGGGCGGTCAGGAGTTCCCCTGGCTTTTTATGCGACCCTCGCGCATCCTTTTCGCTCAGAAGGAGGGGTGGAATATGTTAGGCTACCCTCGGTGGGCGCGAGCGGTGACACTTCCGATGAGCTGCTATCTGGTAAATCCAAGTGGAGGCCCATGCCCCATTCGATAGAGGTCGGCTAGTGGTCCAGAGACGCACTCCAAAAGTACCAGAGGGCTTCTCTAGTGGGTCCCAGAGCCGTTCGATTGGCCCTAGGGGCTCGACGCCTCCCTATGGTGGGATCCCATTCGGAGAACTCCCCGCTGGTCTCGGACATGACTTAGGGCATCCCGAGCGATCGCTTGCTCAGGCCTCGGCCATGTACGGGCTTGCCCATAGCTGTCCCTAACTCTGTTGCCCTGGGGCGGCTGTCGAAACCCTCGGGGGTCCAGCCTTTGAACCCCTGGACCGTAACGGGCTCGGCGCCCTTTTCGTCGTGTTTTTCCGAATCCCCGAGTGTGAGCTTGGGTGGCCTGCTTTTGCTTTGGGTGCAGGAAGAGCCCCCGAGCCTCCGCCTGCAGGCGAGAGGCGGTCGGAGCCCCGGAGAGGCCTGGCATCCTTTTCGTTCCCCGGCTTTTTGCATGCGACCCTCGTGCATCCTTTTTGTTCGGAAGGAGGGTTTGTTTGCAGAGCCCCTCGAAAGTAGCCTTTTCGTTCGGAAGGAGGGGTTTGTTGGGCCCCCCAGTGCGAGTGCAGCCTAGGTCAGCTTCTCGGCAGGGAGAGCCCCAGAGAGCCCCGAGAGCCTCCCGCGCATCCTTTTACGTTCGGAAGGAGGGGTTTGTTTGCCGAGCCCCTCGAGTGCGGTAGCCTAGAGCGAGTTCCATGGGGCTTTTTATGCGACCCTCGCTTTTATGCGACCCTCGTGCATCCTTTTCGTTCGGAAGGAGGGGTTTGTTTGCCGAGCCCCCTCGAGTGCGAGCCTAGGTCATTGGGGTCTCGGCAAGGTTGCGGGGAGAGCCCCAAGCCTCTACATGGAGAGAGAGAGAGCGATCGAGGATCGGGGAGTTCCCCTCGCTTTTTCCGCTGCGACCCTCGCGCATCCTTTTCGTTCGGAAGGAGGGTTTGTTTGCCGAGCCCCTCGAGTCAAAAAGCGAGCCTAGGTCCATTCGATTGGGTCTCTCGGTGCAAGGTTGCGCTGGTCTTGGAGAGCCTCGAGCCTCCGCATGGAGCGAGAGGGCGGTCCAGAGTTCCCCGCTTTTTATATAACCCTCGCGCATCCTTTTAGTTCGGAAGGAGGGGTTTTGTTTGCCGAGCCCCCATCGGTGAGTCTGCGAGCCTAGGTCAGCTGGGTCTCGGCAAGGTTGCGGTTTTGAGAGCCTCCGAGCCTCCGCCATGCGATTAATGAGCGAGAGGGCGGAATCGATCTGGATTTCCCATTCGAGGAAACTTTTATTTCGACCCTCACGCATCCTTTTCGCATAAAGGAAGGAGGGTGGAATATGCCGAGCTACCCCCGTAGGTGGGCGTGGCGAAGGGAGAAAAGCTTCCGAGAGAGAGCTGCTATCCGGTAAGTCCCATCACGCAATGGTGGAGGCCCATGCCCCATCTCGATCCGGGGTCAGGTGCTCACGGTCCGAGACACCTCCAAAAGCCGACCCGTACGGAGGGCTTCTCTAGCGGGTAGTGGTGGAGCGGCGGCGTGAGCAGTATCTTTCCACGGCGTGGTCTCGGTGTGCCGGTGAACCAATTCATGCGCCGCCCCGCATTACTACGGGGTGGAGCTACAGGTCTAGGGGGTATCTGCCCCCAAGTCCGACGAGGGGGCATACCACCAAGCCGGGCTGGGCACCAAAGATGATGATCTCCAGTGAGACCCACCCTCCCGCCCCATTGCCACGCGCGCCACCAGTGCTATCTCCGCAACAACGACAACGAGTCACGGTGTGGAGGTATGGCGTGGCAACCCCGCCGAGGTGAGTATTTTTTCAGCGACGTTGCCGCTGGCGATGGCAGATATCATCTCTTGTTGAGCTTCATGGTCATATCTTGACCAAGTGGGTGTTTTCTATGTTGATCGGAAACATCGGGTGGAGGTGCCAACCTTGGCACCCATCGCAAGGCAGCACTCAAAATGAGCGCTTCATTCCCCACCGCTCAACAAACTTGCGTTCGCAGGCGCAAGACTCCCGCCACCCATTCAACGTAGTGCGGTGTCGGCGAACGGGCCACGACTTGGAGGGCGCCATCGTTCGGCACATGAGGAAGCTCAAGCCGGCGGCTGGAGCGCCGCGTGTCGAGCGGACGGAGGAGGATCTCCGTCGCCTATGCTGCGATGATAGCCGTCGAGGCCCACCAGTCCGACGCCACGGGCCGGGCGCCCACCCAGCGTCGAGGCTTGCCGAGGCCGGGAGCAAAGTCGAGGCCCCGGGACTTCCGAGGCCGAGATGGTTGAGGCGAAAAGGGCGGGCCCGGTGGATAGGGATTCGAGATGGAGGTGGGGCAACATTTGGTGCCACC